AATGTTATAATAAATTTAATCAACTATGTGAAACAGGATTTCCACTTAGATTCCATGAAGTTGGTGTTAGCTGTGAAAGCTCTCGTTTCAGTGTAATCTAGCTAATAGTGCTGGGAAAGACTTTGTGCTGTTAACTGAGGTTTTGTTTGCTCTCAGAGGAATGTCAAAACTTTGCCGAATGAAGCGCATTTCCATTTCTTTTTCTATCTTTTTACAAACATTTTGTGTAATTCCCTCCACCGTTTTATCACCACACCCTCCAAACAGAAATTACGCTGCTCTGTCATCTGCATCTGCATCTGCATCTGCATCCTTGTCTCCAGTAAATAATCCGGACTGGACTCTGGATAAATTTGTGTTTGGTCTAGGGCAGACATTTTTTCCACTAATTGAAATGTCTTTAAATCCACATTAACATGAATTCAACACACTGTAGTAAACAGATAAATGGAGGCAGAAGATGTCTTTCAGTCTTCAATGATCCAAATCAGAAATACTTTAATAATCCCAGGGTGAAATTCCTTTCGTTACATGAATCCATCTGTAATAAGGTGACTATAGGACTAAACTGATATAACACAATTTTATACAATATATATATATATAATTAGGCGGTCCCCGCTCCATCTCGGCCTGAAAAACGCTGAAGACCCCTGGTCCATTAGAGCAGTGCGCTTGTGCTCTGAGAAGGTTGAAAGTAGCTGCTTTGATCCCCACAGCCTCCACTCTGGGTTCCTGAGCAAGACCCTTAACCCCACACTGCTCCCCGGGTGCCGCACAATGGCAGCCCACTGCATCCCAAGGGATGGGTTAAATGCAGAGGTAAATATCTCCAATGAGAGATCAATAAAGTTTAATTATTATTATCATTAAAAAATACCAGTGAGGCTCTGCTTTAGAAATAACAGTGGCACGCTCGAGTGGATTGTGAAACGCAACAACACTAAAAGAAATTCCTTTTAAGCAGGTGTTATAGATTATTTGGAACAAATTTTAATCAAATAATTTCATTGTGAGTCGACTATTTGTTTAAATCCCTATTCAGCACCAAACTTTCAATTATGTTTATTAGTACTGCAACTAAAGATTATTTTGCTCATCAATTAATCTGTGGAATGCTGGAAAAGGTGCCTTAAAGGTTTTGTAAAGAATTTCAGCCAAAGGAAGCTAAAATTATGCCACTACAAGAGGTCTGGATAGAACGTATTTAGGGACAAGAGGTTTCTCTATCTAAAATTCAAAATGTTAATATATTTTTTATAATATTTGGTCGTAGTCACTGTTCTGAGTTACCAGCTTATGAACCAGCTTATGTTTGAAAATGAAAAATGTTTTTGAAGCATTATATAAACAGAAGAGAGCTTTAAAAATGAGCATTTGACTGAAACATCACAGATCCAGAGACAAACATGGTAAAATATGCTTAATTTAACTATATTAAAATATGTTAGTTGATCAGGAAATCCAAGGAAATATTGATCTCTCAAAACTCAACCAAAAGCCCTCAGCTGTATCTATAAAATTCAGTTTCAATGCTTGGCTGGCTGGTTTTCTATTAGGACTAAAACTAATTTTATATACTTAACATGACAACAGAAATCTTCTATATTGAATTTCTGCTTTAATGAATTGTTTAATCCACTTAAGTCTGCATTGCCTAGTGGACAGTTACCACGCACTCCTGCATACTCAAATTAAGTATTACAGAGCAGGCATAACAGGCCTTATTAGACACTTTATAGTGGAGAGAAAATAATGGAAACCAGCGGAGACCAAATAGAGAAATAAAAATCCCTCACCCCTGTTAGGAATGTTAAAAGAACATCTGACAACCAGATGCTGCTATCTTTTAATTATTAACAATTGATAGAGCTAGTAAATGTAAGAACTTTAACAAAATAACATTTGATTATATTCCCACCCTTAAGCATTTGTATGAAGGTTAAACTATCTACACACTGAAGATCAATTCTGCCCTTTTCTATGCATAAATTTACATTTGAGTAAAGATTTGCACAATTAAAGGGAAATCCTTAATATCAATGGTGAGAAACCACTAGTTAAATGTTAGCAAAGGTGAATGAAAGCAAACCATACAAAATGATATGCAAGGCTAAAGTTGAAGGTTAATAAAATGTGACTTTTGCTTTTATAGCTTCCCGTTGAGCTTGATGTTTAATGGACATGTTAGTGAACCCCAAACAAATAACATAAGAAAACATGCAGAGCGTAAAGGCATTTAGTCGTCATGGCACACAGATGGACCCATTTTTACAGGGTGCAAACAGGATTGAGTAACTCTAATTTAATGCTTTTTAATGCTCTTATAAATAATTTTAATGCCATTTTAATGCATATTTATATAAAACACCACACAAATAAGCAGAACCAGCTAGATCCAATATATCTCAAGAAATTGTTTTTATAAACTTTTTATTAATAAGGCATTTTACATGCAATGATTATCACATTTAAAGAATTCTAATGCCAATTAAGGCCTTAATTTAAAAATAATAATTTAATGACGTTTAATGGGTTTTAATGACCCACAGAAACCCTGTTTTATAAAAAAAAAAACAATATAGCCAGGGACGGTCATCTCTAGTCCTAAAGATTTCATGTCCTGTAGAACTTGCTCCAACATCTTAAGCATGAAGGACAGAACTCTTCAGGACCACGCTTGGTCATCTCAGCTTTACAGGGACACAAACACAAAAAAAAAATCTGAACCGCTAAGATAAATAGACAGTTTCAATACACTGAATGAAAAGGTCACCACCCTGCAACTGATCTAAAACTGTCCAAATGTGAACAGTGAATGAAAAACTGCACAAAAATTACATTTGTTGAACTAAAGGTGGTTCAGTTTAATCTTAATAGCAAAACAATTGGATGTTTTTGGCTTTTGTGAAGAGCAACCTTCAACTCAGAGTGGTTCTTCAAAGCTGAGCAATTCCGGTCCACTTTTATAGGAGAGATGATAGACCAATAAATGTTGTCAGCGGAATTTAGAAAAAAACAAAAAAACAAAACCACAAATATTAGAGTTTGAAACTAAGAATTAAAAAGAGGAACTTTCAACTGGTTCTGAGGTGGTAAAGGAGATAAATCTAACTTTGGGCTGTAGTCTGTAACATCCATGCTGAAGAAAAAGCAAAGCTCAAAGGGACTCAAGGAGATTCTCATTTTTTGGAGATTATAGAAACACGCGCCAAGCTGTTTTGTCAGCCGGTATTGCTAGTTTTTCAGCATAAATAGAAAACATGGACAGAAATGCTGATTCCAACGATTAGAATCTGCTCTATATTGAAGAGTTTAGATGGTTTAACAATCAATGCTAATTCATTCTTTACACCAAAGGTTTCAACCACAAATCCTCAAAGGCCATCAACTTTGAGATGCCTGACACTTGACTCACATTAACTCTGCATTCAAACTAGTTGGGTTTTTTAGGTTTCATTCGGGTATGCGGACATAACTAAAAGTTACTGAAGGTCAGCGTACAATGAGTTAAGTTTGAGACTTATATTGACTTACACGGAAGTTGACAGTAGCAAAAAACAAACAAAAAAAACCCTATGGGCTGCTGCTCCAGCTGTTTGATCTGAGCTGCTTAGCAGAAGTTCATCTCCGCTTCAGACAGACTGCCATGACGGAGAGATTGCTGCACGGTACTATAGACAAAAGTCATCCAGGTTTAATGGAAAGATCTTAGTTTAAATAGCATGAGGACAACTGTTTCTGTAGGTTTGGTTTGCATGCATATAACTGCACCTGACAGAAGAAACAAAAACAAGGAGGCTGAATATGTGTATGCTCTGTGTTTTGGGGAATACCTGCAGCTACCTGACAATGTTCATCATTGCTTTAGAGGTAAACAAACCTAATATTTTTTAAACAACATCTGTCCTTTAAAGGTAAGATTTTTTATTATGTCAGCTTTTGGTTAAACTACTTAAAAATTGCTTACTGTTCCAACACAACAATTACCTTTCTTTGTAACCCAGATATTTAAAATGATTAAAGAACATTTTAAACTCAATTAGAAAGGCTTTAAATACCTTAAATCATATGAAATCACTAGCTGTACCATTTCTTTAATCTAATTTAATCTCTTAGTACATGTGTCTAAGCATTGAAGGTGCCGTATTTCCAGTTTTATAGAAATGTTATAATTTTAAAAATTATTCATAAAAATATATTAACTTGAAGCATGCTTATTTCATTTCAAGCTACTCACAATCTTAAATGGAATTTAAAAAGTAGAAAGGGTCGACAGACATTACATGAAGAAGGTTTGGATTTAAAAATGAAATACTTCACTGCAGGAAAAGTTCAAATGAATGAGATGTAAAGTGAGACAAAACAGAACAATGTTTACAATAAGCTATGATTTCTGAAAAACAAGAGACTGGGTATTTCCTGGATGTGTTTACATAACAAAAACAGAAATACTTCCTGAATTAAGGTCAACCCACAGGACTCAATGCTGATACTTATTTTTTTCTTTTTCACTTCACATTGCTTGGCTTAAAAGCACATTCCAAGTTCTAAAGTTAAGGGGTATGTCTAACAAAGCCATTAAAGTATAATTTTGAAGAAGCCATTTCATCTTTACCTAGTGAATAAAGACATTAAGAGACCGATCTAGATCCAGGTGGTTAGTTTTACATATTCTTAAATGCGTCTAGTTTGAATCACCAGTTTAGAGTCGGCCCTATAGATAAAGACGTTCCAGCACTAATTCATATCTTTCATTTGACTTTGAAACTAACAATCATCCTTTAGCTTTTATGAATATAATCCAAGCAGACTACTAATCTTGCTGAAAAAAGTCAAGCATGCAAAAAACCCTATTCCCTGATTAAACTAAGTAATAATTGATGAGAAATTCTTTGCATTTATGGCTTATCAACTGTATTTTTTAAGATTTAGCAAACAGCTTGGGGTTTTACGATGATTTCCATGACATATGTTATTTGTGAGCATTTTAGCATGCAGAATAAAAATCAGATAACTAAGAAAGGTGCAGAGCTGCTATATCAGATCTGACACTATTTACGTGTGATACTCAATAAATCCATGATCCAGGCTGCTGTTGCATTTCTGTTAGAGTAGCTGCATATGAAAGTAATGAGAGTAATATAAGCTACTTTTTACATCAGACAATGGATGCCAACAATCGGCCTATGATTGTTTATTACTGATTTGTCAGATGAAGATTTAATCAATTCAATTAATTGGTAAGGTCTTCTTAAAGGGATGGTTTTAAGTGTTGTGGTGCAGCTGCCATCGAGAGGAAGGCATCACTGTGGATTCTTAAGAAAAACCACATCGATAGCTGAGAAATAATACTAGAAGCATACCAAAACAGAAATGTTAAAACTATCCAAACAGGGTCCAGCTCAGGACTATCTTACCCTATTTAATAGGGGTGTAAATAATAATCATTTTGTATTGATGCATCGATCCAACAGCCGACGATCCGATGGATCGACACGTCCGCAAGATAATCGATTCATGTTTTTTTTTTTCCTCCGGTCTATTTTTATCCATTTGCTCCTGGATGTAATTCTCCCTCCCGTGCTGCGGTGGCGCTAAACCTTTTTTGCCCTCCTACATTGCTTCCTGGTTATACTCTTACAGCAGTGTGTTGCAGTGAGCTTGACACAGACATTTTTAAATTATGCTCAATATTGAAGCGTGGTCTGTGCTACACACTGTGGGTCTAGATACGGCCGAGGCGGCGAGGAAGTTGGGGACGAGTTTAGTCCAACGACGGAGGGACATGAGGGCCAAAAAGGGCGGAGATCCAGGTGGAAAAAGGGTCCCAGCGTTCTCTCGCACATCGCTCTTCTAGCGGGTCAAACTTCACGAGTTGTTTTCCGCAATTTCGGTAATAAAAACAAAACAAGCCGGCATCCTGTCTGCGGCACTGTTTGCGGTGAGCTGCAATTTGCGAGAGGTGCAGCGGAGCGTCTGTGGAGGGGGCGGGGACGTCTGGAGCCGAGGTATTGCATTGCACTCATTGCACTGATAATGTGCAGTATTTTTGCAGTATTTTTTAAAGCAACTTTTCTACTTCTGTTATTTGCTGTTGTTTCAAAAAAAAAAAATGCATAATGATATTACAGCTTTCATTGATTTATTTCAAACTTGAAACTTTGTTTAGCCTGTAAGGTGTAAAAAAACAAAAACAAAAAAAACTAACCAATTAATCGAATCGAATCGTATCGTGGTGTATTCTTGAGTATCGAAAATAATCAAATCGTTGGGTCAGGAAATCGATACTGAATCGAATCGCCATGATGGATGTGATTTACACCCCTACTATTCAATAGCAACAAGGATAGAGAATAGACTTTATTTGGTTCTGTTTGTAATTTGAAACACTTGACTAGCCCTTTAGATCATCACCTCAATGGCACCCATTCAGCTATGTTGCATGGTGGAGCAGTCAGCTTAAAACAACAGAAATATCACGCTCCCCTTAACTCACTCATTTCTGTGAGGTGTAAATCAATGTAAGACTATTTGTGCATGACAATAATCAGTGGTTTGGAAAGTCATGGTGAGGAAACTAAAGGAGCACTTCCCTTCACTTCTACTACATTAACGTTCTAAAAACAACAAACTACAAGCAGCATATATACATGGCAGACAATGGCTTAAATAAACTAATTTAGAGGAAAAAGGTGTGTACCTAATTTGGCCTTTTATTAGCAAGAAAAACTAGTGCTGCTTTCATGAACACATAATTCTGCCCAAGTCTGAAAATAGTTGCAGTAGAAAAATGGAAGTGTTCCCATTGCTTAGGGTAGCCGAAAAGGCTTAACGCATTTTACTTGGATACTACGATGTGTGGTCGGTGGAGAAGGAAGCAAAGAAGACAGGAGTAGACATCGACTGATACGAGTTTTTTTTTTTTTTAAAGACAGATACCAATTATTTAATTTAATTATTTTGACATCAGTCAAGCCGATCCACAATAGGTGCTGCCATAATTATCAGGCTGATCCTTGAATGCTTTAAACGGCGTAATACCAGAGGCCATTTTCAGTGGTTTTTAATTCTTTTACAAACCACTGAGAAATGTATTTACGCGCCACAAGATGGGAGTAATTCTTACCAACAACTGATAGAACCAACAAGAGATGGCCAAATTATATCTTGTACAACCAAATTAAACTGATTAACAAGCTCATGTGAGAGCAGAAAGACAAGGAGAAAAACTATTCTGCAGAAGGAGTACATCGGGGCACTTATAAAATTCAGTCAGATTTATTGAAGTATATCACTTTATACTTTAAATCAAGGAGCTATTTTAAAAATCTTTGGGTAAAAAAAAAAGCCCTGATCAAAAAAATATACATTTCCTGGTTCTTAACTTCAAACAGCCCGACTATCAAAGCTTATTCTTTCCCTTACTCCATACATTTCAAAAACGAATACACATTAAAAAGGCCATTTTAGCACCAGCAGAGAATATTGCTGCTTTTCTATGTCAAATAATTAAATTAAATAAGCTCAAGATAAATGTTTTTAGTGAGTCTGTTTATGCTGTGATGTAAAGAAACCATAACGTTTTACTCTACATAACCATGTAGCACAAAACTAATACTGTCTGACACCTCTGACTGGAAGACTGTTAAACAACAACAGAGCGTCTTCAGTAAAATGCTTCTCCAGATCCACTTTAAGAAAGAACACTACAGGAGAACCTTCCTGCCAACAGCTATTAACATCTACAACAGCTCGAAGAAAAAAAAAAAAAAAAAAAAAGGTGAAAACACCATTTCATTTCCCTTTGGGATCAATACAGGGTTTTTGAATTGAATTGACAGAACCTATTACTCCTGCTGCTTGATTTCATTTAACAGCTTCAACACTGTGGGACAACGGTGTAATCTGCATCAAGAGGGCTCAGCTGTTCTTCGACAACAGTGTCTCTGTAGAGGGCAGATTAGACTTCTGCAACCGCACACATCAAATGTCGCTTGGTTCTGGTCGCGAACCAGTTTTGCTGGTATGCTTCTGCACCGGCGGTCTGGAATTTCTAGGGACACAACAGTTTCTAGGCACAACAGTTTCCCGCCAAAGCGCAAGGGGGAACCTATTCGAGAACTCGAGAGAACTTCGGTGGTGCTGGCGGGAGTTTTTATTTTCCAAAACAACAATGCCACACCTGCAAGATATCACAGTTCGGATCTAGAGTTGCTAGACATCGAAGAGGAACAGGTTCTGTTAATGGAGTTTGCAAAAAGGCCAATTAACCTTTCATCGTAATTGTCCATTGTAGTTGTTCCTCGGTTTTTAAAAATGGCCCCCGGCACCGAATCGAGAAGGATGGCCACACAGACAGCCAGAAAGGCAAACCAAGGACCAATCACAGCTGCTTTTTGTCCAATTCCGCTTAAGGTCTGCACAGGTTTGTGACCGCCTGACGCGTAGTCAGGGTGTTTTAGAGACAGAGACAGATTTGACGGTTGCAGTGGCTAAACTCAAAAGTATAAATTGGCCTTAAATAGGGATTTTTTTTTTTTTATACAGTTCAATTCCCTTTGCAGATTGATGGGGAAAAAGTGGTGTTAAGTTCTGATGTTTTAACTTACTGTCATCGCCTACTGGTCCTGCAGAACACTGGGCTGGAGGATCCCGAGCCAAGTCATTCAATTCCTATAACAAAAAACATGTTTTGGTCATATTCTGCGTCAGGGTATTGGTTCATTTATATCAAAAAATAGTATTTAAGTTTGGCATGCAAAAAATAAGGCAATAATCAGAATACATTAAATTTTTTCCCCCATGACTGCCAGTTCCTTAATAAAACTATAGATTGCCATTAAGAGTTAAACTCAGTCCCCTTTAAAACAAGTCTACAAGCGCAGTAATCTTTTTTTTTTTTTTTTAGCGCAGTAACAGCTATTACATAACATATTTTCCACGACATAAGATTGCCCTAGGCAAAGTGAAATCCAACTAATCTGAAAAAGATGTCTTATTATGATGATGCGCTGCCCTAATAAACGATCTGTGACATGTTGCAACGCTAGCACACATGCTATCTGCAGCACAGGATGTCATGTCAGACTAGTCCTCCGCTTGCTGCTCAGCTACATTGCAACACACGCCGACATTAACGTATATTCCAGAGAAATGACGAAAATGAAACGTTTACGCTGATAATAAGCGCAAACCTTAGATAGTTAAAATAATAAAACGTCCTGCTGGGTCAACATGCAGTACAAAACGCGACCAAAAAGCAACGGGCCCGTTTCCAACAACGACAAAAAAATGCTAGCATCATATCCTTTCCTTTATCCAACCAGCTGTCATCCCTCTTATTTGTGAATATCTTGTTCTTAGAGTACAATGCGCTACACAGTTAAGTACAAAACATGACTTCCCTGTCATTAGAACTGATAAAGCGCCGTTAAATGATAAAAAACGAGAGCATCCACAAATGCACAATGCTAGCTTGAGCTAACGCAGCAATCACCAGCGAGTTAACACAACTAAATATTTATCAGTAAAAATCACAAGTCGTACATGTTATACACAAACTGTCAGGTATTTATTTAGCATCAGCGTCGTTGTGGAGATTGTTATAGCTTGGCCGTTAGCCGCTTAACCTACATAGTGTCTGTCAAACCAAGTTAGCACACATTCCTCATAATAGTTTGTCAAATTGTTAAGCGTTATTATACAAGTAATAAGTAGAATATACATTAATTTAGAACAACCCGCAGCTTAATAACTGTGAAAATACATTTAAATACCGCTAGCTAGCATAAAAGGGACGCTTTAGCTTCCCCAAATTAGCTAACCCTACCAGCAGCAGCTAGCGAGCTACAATATTTAACAATAACGAGACAACCAGAGACGTTCAATATCAAGTTACCCTCCGATATCTGGCATAACGGTTTTGAACCTCCACATAACCCGACCCTAAACAAAAAACAGACCCGCGAGGAGCTAACCCGTCAATGGCTAAGTTGGCCCGTTTCAAGCGGCACCGGGGAACAGAGACGGCGGACCGCCGCTAGCCGTTCGCAGCTCATTCTCCGGCACATAAAACCAACTTTGAGGTATTCGTCTAACGGTTAAAAAAATGATTCCCAGTACAATACTCTTCGGACAGTCACCTGAAGGGTGGCCGTCGTTTACAACACACAACAAAACTGCGAAAGCCAGGGCCTCCCCGTTCACTTCCTTACCTTGTGAATTCTTTTCAGAGCCATTGTTGTGCTAGCGCTTCTGTCAGGGAAAACGTGCGATTAAAATGGCGATTGGAACCACTTCGTTAGTTGGGGGGAAACTGCAGCTCAGTGCGTCATAAAACACCGTCTCAACATACACGGGTCACCGTCTGTTACCAAAAGGAGCCACCGAGACGATTTTGAGGCGAAACTGAAAGATAGAAGGGGTAGAACCGCGGTCCTTCCTCCTACTGCAGCGGCTACCAAATCACTGCGGCCTGCCTGTGTTCCTGAGAGCTGCAACGAGAAGAGCATTTCCGCTTTGGTCCCTTCAAAATAAAATCTTTATACCAAACAATATAGTTTGGTATAAATTTGACAAACTTTATTGTCATTTTGTATCAGTGGTGTCAAAAGTACACAGATTTGTTACTTAAGTAGAAGACGTACTGCAGTTTAAAAACACTCTGGTAAAAGTTGAAGTATCAACCTGACCTCTTTACTCAAGTAGAAGTGAAAAAGTATGTGCTCCAAAAACTACTTCAAGTATAAAAGTAACCTTAAAAAAAAACAGCCAGATGCCACTATATGTAGAGAGCTCAATTTTTAGACTATTTCGAAAAATTTCTTTACCAAGGATAAGGGAGGTCTTGTTGGTCTCCGTCTCCCGATACGCTCTCGTCTGTGTCTGACCTTTCAGACATCTCAACATCTTTTTCTGAGTCCTACATTGTAGCATTATGATGATTATCTGATGATCTCCTTTAGCTATCCAATGAGTGTTTGCGTTATATGACTCATTCAATTACACTAGTTTTCACTAGATGTGGATGGCGCCAATGATCTGCATTGGATTTATTTCACATGACGTGAAATAAATATTTATATTAAACTGAAGCCAAGAGTAACAAGTAACGTTTATTTAAAAAATGTAAGGAATAGAAAGTACAGATACATGTGTTAAAATGCAATGAGTAGAAGTCAGAAGTTGGAAGAAAAATAAGCATTGGAGTAAAGTATAGATACCGAAAAAGTGTACAGCAACAAAGTATTTGCACTTCGTTACTTAACACCTCTGCACAGAGTGTATACAAACTGAAATTTTGACACATACAGCTTTTCAACAGTGATTGAGCAGCTTAGCAGTGAAATTAACATTTCCATTTATAAAGTGAATCAGTGATCAAAATATAAACAGTGTAGGAAAGACATGGTGCAAAAGGCAATAATGTGGAAGGCTCAAAGCAGTACATAAATAATTACATAGATATGGTGCAAAATGCAGTAGAAACACTGAATTGAGTTCTGCTTTGAAGATACACCATGTAATGCAAATATGATGTTTACAGTGTGATCCAGAGTCTAGGTTTGTGGCTTGATTGGAGTTTTCAGCACTTTAACAGTCTTATCGCAGAGGGGAAAAAGCTGTTGCAGAACCTGCTGGACCTGCATTGAATGCTGCAAAGCCTCTTCTCAGAGGGCAGCAGGGAGAACAGCCCATGGTGGGGGCGTGAGGGGTCATTTATGATGTTACGGCTCGAGACACGCAGCACTGGGATAAAATCTTTTTAATGGAGGGAAGAGGAGCCCCGATGATCCTCTCTGCTGTTCTCACCACTCTAATGATATCTAAGTTAAAGCAATGTTTTATGGAAACCAAGGCTGTCAAGATTTCAAGCTCAGTAGCAATATTTTATCTGGATTTTTTTCTTTCTATTATCTCGATGAATCTTATTATTAAATCATGCATATTTTGTTTTTGTCTTTTTTGCTTTGTTTCGATGGCTGTTGATATGGGAATATTTTGTCTTTAATAAAGTCATGATGGAAATATACAGGAAAATTTTAGATACTCAATACTATTTTTGATACCACTCGGATAAAAAAATAACAAGTAATTAAAACCATGAAAAAAATATCGTGGAAAATCTCACCTTTACCGATATCTCAATGAACATGCTTTCTCAACAAAATCATAGATGCTAGTTAAACAAAAGTGCAAAATAAATAATCTAGAAATCTAAAATGATCAATAGCAAAAATATGCATCATTTGTTTTTAGTATACATTACTATTGTATCCAGATACAGCGTTTGGGTATCTATAGAGTATCAATACTTTTGACAACCCTTCAAGGAACTGATCTGAACAGGGTTTTTATTTGTATAAAATTACACCAATCATTGATGACTTTATAAAAATGTTCCATATAAATTATGCAACATGATGGTGTTTATTCTTATAAATAGTTTAAATAATGTAGCTATACCCTTTAGGAATTAGATCTGTTTGCTCAATTTAATTAACAACAACTTTAATTACAATAATTCACATAATTATCTAAGAAAAGTTTATAACCTACACATATCCAACCCAGATTATGCTGATCCTGGTTAAATTGACATTTTAATTCAAGCTGTTATTTGGCTGTGAGTCACAAAACCCTGAGAGTAAAACCAAATTCTTGAACTTAAGCCTTACTTTACTAATTCTTTTCAGGGTATGTGTATCGGGGGCAAGAACTGAAAATATTCTTTTAGGCTATAATTGATTATAGTCTATAAACAGCTGGAGTAAAAAGACAAAATATTGTGAAATATTTATTCTTTATGCAGGAATAGGATGAATAATAATAATAATAATAATAATAATAATAATAATAATAATAATAATAATAATAATAATAATAATAATAATAATAATAAAGTAGGCTAAATGACTCCTTTGAGATTTATTTGGTTTATTGGACAATTTCTACTGACCTAAAATCAAAACTATTTGGAAATTAAAAAGAAAAAAAAGACAGAAGTGTGAAATATTGTGAAATTAAATTGAAATATTAAAGGAAGCAGATCATATATTTCTTTCTGCTCGGTGAACTTTAAAATCCCATACTTAATCCAATGACGTTTTACACAATTTTGTAAAGTTAGTTTTTCTTCCAGTACTAAAAATATTTAAGTTGTTTTTAAAGTCCCGCGTCTTTTATTTTGAAGGGCCACACTCTTTGAGCGCATTTGTCATTGCGCTGCCTCTAGAAAGCCCTCCACAGAATAGTGCTCTTTGCAGTAACCGATCGCTCGTGGAAAGAGCTGTAGCAGTTTAGTGGACACGGAGCAAGAATCACTACACGTGTGGCTGCAGTGCTGTCTGGCTCAGCACAGCCAGTGTGTTTACAGTTGTAACTGATACGTCACCAGAGGAAAGGAGTAATCCCAGATCCACTGTCACTACAGGATTCCTTGCCTCTGCTGATGGTGTAGTGGCTGCGAAAAAAATCATCAGATAAAACTTAGTGATTGCAACATTTTAAAACCATCAGTAACTACAGGCATTTATTTTCAGCCAATACAGGAATAGCTGTGTTGTTCCAGTTTTAGCTGATAAGGTGAACCAAATGAAGGCTACTCAAAAAAACATTTAGGCGTTTAGGATCCCTAATTAAGCAATAATTTATATGACTCTAGAAAAGGCGTTTTAATCCCTAAAATACCCAGATTGTTAATTATAACTTATGTGTAGATATATATTTCTTCATTAATAACAGATCATGCTTTTTTTTTAACTACCCATACTATAAGGCACTAATTATGTTTTGAATCAAATATGTTTAAGTAGATTCTTTTTTTTCAGCATAAAAGTTAAAATCTTCATTGCATAAGTCACAAGATTATGGGAAAAGAAGCCATTGGCATTGCCAACACTTTTTTTCATGAATTCCTTTCTTTCTTGCCCAATTTAATTAATTCAGGTGCAGCCCTGTCATTTCTCTAATCGGTCAGTCTTGCTTTAAATTTGCAGTCACCTTGTTTGTTCATAATTTTTGCCTGAGTTAAATTTTGTTTCTGCTCTTGAGCGGATGTAATTATCTCCACAGTTTTTTATACAGTGAGTTACAGTCATTGTACCGTGTAGTACTGTCCTGTGAATGTACTGTCCTCACCATGTGGCTACTACAAGCATAACAGTCTAGTCTCAAAACAACCTTCCAGGACTTATTTAGCTTCCCATGACCATCCTACAGATTGGTTCTTATAAAGAGGCTTATACTCTGAGCAGTAAAAAAAAAATTGTGATCAAATATCCCAAGAGGAAGTCTTACTTAAGTTAGGTATGACTCTTTGACATTTGCATAAAATAAGTCTTAACTTTTATTATTCCTGGTACAGCAGCTGATAAACTGTTGGAACTTTACAACTATAATAAAGTGTGAGACATGACTAAAATCACCAGTTAGTGTCACAAACCCATTTGGCTGTTGTGTCTGTAGCTTAGCAACAACTGAACAAATGAAATCACACAGAATTGAGAACAGCAGGAGGGGGAATGTAAACAGCTGCCAAACCAATACTGGTGAGGTCCCTGGGTAAATAATATAGATGAAAAATAACTGTGAACAGTTCAATATTCAGATTGCAGTGATGAAACTTCATAGTAACATGTTCTGGATGACACCATCTGTTGTTCAGAAAACACTGCCAACCCACCTCCGTTCGGGTTTCTAGTCTTTATTCAATTGGTCTCATTGATCAGCACAGAGGCTCTGGAGTTGAGGATATGATACAAAAGCAACGGCTTTGTTAGAACCCAGAACTTTTGACCCAGAATTCAGGCAGACAGACTGAAGTGATTCATAATAGCGTTTATTAACTGCTTGACGAATTTGTGACTCCGCAGCAAGGACCAAAAGGCCAAAATCTCTGCAGAGGGGAAAACACAGGTTAGTGACCACGTAACTCTGACAGAGGACGATTACAAGCGTGTGAGTCACTAACCTGGTTATAAAGCTCAGTCCAAACCCAGAGGAAGGAGTGGAGTCCAGCCAGATGATTTTCCATGGCTTGTCGCTGACGCCGCTCAGAGGGTTCAGGAGCTGAAGCCAAAAAGGCTGCTGAGCCAGCTGACGAGCAGAAGCCAGCAAATGACGGACAGCAGGAGTTTCCGGATGGAGAAGCCAAAGCCGGTATCAGTGAGGCAAACAGTAGTCCTGGCCAGAAGATCAGAGGTCCGAAGAAGAACCGTAGGGAAATCCAAGGTCGTAAGCAGGCAGAATCCAGCAGGAGTCTGAAGACAGATCAGGCAAACAGATCAGAGCAGGGGCAGGCAGGCTGAGAGGTCCTAGGGCAGAAACTAGTCAGGAAAAGGTTATCAGAATTTGAATTTGAATATACTAGAGAACCCTCACCTATGCCTCAAATAATCTGCAACTGATGGCTAGGAGAAAACAGTTTAATTAAATAAAAGCTAGAACAGATGGATATTATAAGTAGTAATGAGAAACTGGGTGGAGCTCGCAGCTGGATG